TATCCTAATTCAAAAACAAGTTATTGCAAAAGTTCAACATCATCACATCTAAGGATGAAAAAAAGGATCTTTGACAAAATGGCTCCTCTGTTGATCTTTCATCCTCCTCCTACATTGTTGTACTCGAGATAGTTTGGCAAATTGAGATGAATCACATGTTTGAGAAGCCTGAGCTGCTTGAGATGGTTAGGATTGGGAAGCCTAAACTACTTGAGATGGTTGGGATTGAGAAACCTGGGCTACTTAAGATGCCTGGGATCGAGAAGGCCCTTGGGAACTACTTGCTTGTTTCCTTTGCCTTAGTTGCATACTTTGTTGTCCAGTACTTTGCTCTTTACCATCTCTTCTTCCTTGTCTTCTTAGGCCTTCTAGGCTGCTTGTGGTATTTTGGAGGGAGAAATGTAGGTAAATTAATCTTCATCTACTTATCTTGGCTAGTCATAAGCATAATCATTGGTTCATAGGCTCTCAAATAAGCCTCTTTCTTGTACACTGCATCACAAAAGTCCTTTGGATTCCCACGAAACCAACTTGTTGCATCACAAGCATGCAAACATGGTATTCCATTCAAATCCCAAGCATGGCATGAACAAGAGTGGGCATTCAAATCAACAACAAAGTTGCGGCCACTATGGTGCATTACTTCAAACATATTTTGTCCAGCAGCCTTAGGAATGCACCATTGAGTTTTTCCTTTGTTTTTCTCTAATATCTTTCTAATTCTTGGCCCAACTTTGTCCATGCCATTTCTCACACAAAACCCTTCTTCCAACCATCAACAACATTATATACAACCGAATTCTTTCTAGCATAGTCAAAATAGGCTTGTCTCTGGCATCCATTATGCTACGGTTGAATGCCTCACATAGGTTATTCATAAGCATGTCACACTTGGAATCACTCTTGAAATATGCCCTACTCCAATGCTTAGGATCTTTCTCTGCAAGCCAATCATGTGCAGGTTTAGACAACTCGAACATCTTTCTCATCTCTGCATCAAACCATGGCACCGTTGTGGCCTAGCAATTGCTTCCATTTGATGTTTCAAAGCAAGACCTCTATGCTCCAAATAGAAGTTTCCATACAGATGTTTCAAAAATGTATGTGCTATGCATAAGGGAATAGAACATCCACAACATCTATTAAACCTTTTTACTTGTCAATCATAAATACATAACCATAGCTATTCATAATATTCAGATCACCACTCAATAATTCTAAAAGCCACAGCCACGTTGAATTTCTCTCAATCACTACATATGTATATGCAAGTGGAAAGATTCCGTTGTTTGCATCAACTCCCATTGCAGAAGGCACTTGCCCAGGGTGAGGCCCTTTGACATGACACCCATCCAAGCAAACCATAGGCCTACAACCATCTAAAATCCCTTCTTGCAGGCTGCAAGACAGATGTAAATCCTCTGAACCCGTGGCCTATCACCTTCCATTTCAAATTTAATGATAACTGTACTTCCCACATTTCTCGTTCTTAACTCATAATAATAATCCCACAATACTTCATATTGTTTACTCAAAGACCCCTCTATAATGTTAACTATCATGGCTCTTACTCTGTACACTATTGCTCTAAATGGTATGTAACCATAGTCTTGGTGAACTTGCTCTGCAAAAGAAGAAGAAGTCCAATTTGTATTGAGCCTTAACCCCTCCATAACATCCCACATCGACCAACGAATAGGGGGTGATGTGCCTTATATGTACAAGCCCACCTCCATCTAGCACGAGGCCTTTTGGGAGCTCACTAGCTTCGAAGTCATGGGAAGTCCAAAGTTAAGCGAGTTTGGGCTAGAGCAATCCTAGGATGGGTGACACACTGGAAAGTTACTCGTGAGTTTCCAGAAACAAAATCGTGAGAGCAGGGGGCCCAAAGCAGACAATATCATGCTCCAGCGAAGCCAATCCAGGATGTGACACCATCATATCTTTTAGCCAACCAACTAACAGTGGCATGTATATTTTTACTCCCCTTACTACAAACAGGTGTAGGATTAAAGGTTTTTCCCTGTAGGTAAGTGCTACCACTAACACTTGAAGCATGGATAACAAAAGGACAACCCTATTCACATACTACTCTTATTTTGTTACAGTCATTATTCATAAATATCAACTCCCTTCCACAATTAATGGAGTATATCCTCACAGCTTTTCTAAACATCTCAGTAGTAGCAAACTTTAAACCCACTTTGAATCCTGGGTTTGCCTTATCAATTTCAGGTTTGAAATCTTCACCTTTTGGCATTCTGTTCCTTTTCCTTCTTAGTTCACCTAGTGCTTCATCTTCACTTGAAGAGCTACTTACGCAGGTAAGTGCACTGTCTGACTCATCGTTTTCCTCTGCATTAGGATCATTGTCAGTACAAGTATAATCCACATAACCTTCAAACTACTTATCATACTTCTTTAATAAGTCAATCTCTTCATCACTCTGTGCATAGTGATTGTCTTCAAAGTCTGGATCACTACTATTATCATCCTCATAACAAGAATATTTTGGATCACTGCTATCATTCCCCACTTGGCTTGAAGTCAGGCTCACTACTTTCAAGTACAAAACTATCACCCTGTTATTACTTTTAGGTACCATGCTCATACAAGATAAAAAGTACTATCTGATACTATTTGAATGAGTCTACCAGTTCCAAACTCTTCACCATAAAAACTCACATCATACCCATTGTCATATCCCAAATCTTTAGCCATTCCAAATAGCTCTAATAGGGACATATAGTCAACCTCACAATAATCAAACCAACTGACTTCACCACCCAAATACGACCATTCACTATCACTTAACCCATTTTTAACTAGTTTACCTCCATGGAAAAACTTAAATGTAACAACCTCGTCAGCATCTTTATCTGGGTAAGAGGTATGAGGAAGATTCACTTAACAAATTGACAAAGGAAACAAAGACAATACAAGGACCACACAAGGACAATACAAGGAACACACAAGGGCCACATAATGACCACAACAGGACCAACACAGAGTAAAAATAGTATACAAAAAAAAAAACAAAAACAAAAACGACAAAAAATCCAACAACAGTTCAATGCATATGCCAACAACAAGAAAAATGAGTGAGAATGGGTTCACTTACATATGGGTTGACAACCTCCAGATTCTTTAAGCACCACCATCTTTGCACTTTCTATCCTTAAAGTCTCACGCTAAACAATGATTTCTTCTTTAGATTCTCCCAAACCGAACCCCACCTCAGATTTTCATAAACCCTAGCCTTCTTCTCCCAATTTTCCCTTCTCTCCCAAATACCCCATTTTCTCAAACTGAATAGCCCTTCCTCTCCATTGTTAAGCGATTGAAAAGAAATGGGGGCCACATCACGTAACGTAACGTCTCTTAATACTGATAGAATAGGTAACGTGAGACAGTTATTAAAAGTGTATGTGGTATATTGAGACGTTTCAATGAACATGTGGTAATCTAAGACTACTTTGAAGGCACAGAGAGCATATACATAAATAAGCCATATATATATATTAATTGACTATAAATGTATATACGAATGTGAACTAGGTGAACCAAGAAAGCAACTAAATATTATTTATATATATAATTAGAGTGGTGATTTCCCCACTCCCTTTTCTCCTATTTTATCCACTTACACTCCTTTTTTATAACTAAAAAAGGAGTGTAAGTGGATAAAATAGGAGTGGGGAAATCATTGTCCTATAATTACTATAGTTTAATACTTACCAAAGTAATTATTACTTAAAAATAAAATGTTTAACCTTCTTAAACAACCTTTAAGAATATTGATTCTCACTGTGCTTGCCTTTATTTACCATGACAATGGGCGGAAAAGCAAAATAAAAGGAGTAGGGCAGTCACTATTCACTTGAATAGTGTCTGCCCTTCCTTGCCCTTACCCTTTGCCATGGCATCATAGGTCAAAGTGCTCTTAAGCTTACTAAAAATACCCATGTGGGTTGGGCCTCTGTCGGGTCCTCGACCCTATTGGGGAGATTTTGAGGAAAAACTTGGGGCTGATACAAGGATCCCCAAATTATAAAAAATCGCGGTCAAAACGAGATATGGATGATATTGTTATCTACATCCTTGAACCCGGCTCAATAAGGGCTATATTTATTTTTAAGTAATGTATGTATATATAACATAACAATGTATGGTTATAATATGATATAATCAATAAGTATAATATTTAATATTTATTTAATTTTGTAAATTGAATTGAGATGATTATGAGTAGTTGTGTTGAATTTAATAGGTTAGTTAAATGTGATTGATGGTTTAAGGTGAAATTAGTGTTATAATGTAGGATATATATATATATATACTTTTTTTTAAACCTGAGATTCGAGGCTGGTTTGGGAGGAAACCCCCCCCCCCCCTTTTCCTCTCTCAGAGGAGACTAGGATTGGAATTCCTAGAAAATCCTTATCGAGAATGGGGACAGGAATGAGGAGTGGGACGAGGATGGTATTGCCATAACCGGCCTTGAATTGGCCAACTGCCATCCCTAAGGGTGACTGAGGAAGTGGAAAAACAAATGAGAAAGGGAGTGGTGAAAGAAATAACAATACAAATGACAGTCTGGATGATAGAGGGGAGAGAGAATTTTTATTTATATTTTATACAATTGATAGTCTAAATTACTCTTAATTATTTTAATATACGAGAAGAAGGGATCAAACTTATGTGCTAATGAACATGCACACCATCTTAGCTAACTAGCTTAACTCACATTTGCGAGCCTCGCATACTTTTAAGGATTTCAAGGACACACTAACGCTGACGTGGCATATTGAAAGATGATGGATTATTTGGGCGGTTAAGATTTTTATGATATAATGCACAGAATGTCTGACCCAGTGAGCAGGAGTAAGGTACGTTGGTTGCGCAATCGACGAATATACACGACGAGGTTGATCCACACGTGGCCCAGCACTCACTACGTGTCCTGGCTCTGCCTTGTCCACGGTCACTTCCTTTGGCTCCGTCATTTTGCCAACTTTCTCTGCTTCTCCAAACAGAAACACAAGACACACAGAGAGCTCTTGCTTTCCTCTTCCTTTTGTGAATGAATATTTTCATTCTTGCAGAGCTTTCTCAGGTTTTGATGAGGAAGAGCTTCTTGTTTAGTTACAGCGGAGGCGCAGATGATTGGTGGAATGAGATTGGTGGATCAAAACAATGGCAAAGTGGCCCAACGTACTATATCCTGTCTGCCTCTTATGCCTTGGTCTCTCTTGTTGCTCTGGTAGTACCCTACAATATTTTCATTCCCCATTTGTCATTTCTGTCAAGTTTTTTCAGTTTTTGGGCAGACCCATTTTCTGTCTTTCTTTAAAAAAATGCATCTTCAGTGAGTTTTTCTTGTTGGGTTTGTTTGTTTTAATCTCAGTTATTTTATGAGAAAATTTTATATAATCGAGCTTTGGAGAAGATGAAGATGATGATGAGGTTTGTTTACTATATATTTTCAGGTACAACTTGTGCGCATTCAATTAAGAGTTCCAGAATATGGGTGGACAATACAAAAGGTTTTCCATTTGATGAACTTTCTAGTGAACGGATGTAAGGGTTGTGTTGCATTTTTTTCATACTCGCACTCTGTCTGCACCCATTTCTTATTGTATAAGTTTTTAATTCAGGCCAAAAATAATAATTTTTGTGTGTGTGTGTGTGCAGTGAGGGCTGTCCTATTTGGTCTCTACAAGAGTGTTCTTCTTATTAAGCCTAAGGTATGTGTAAGTTGCAGCCTCCTGAATTATGCTGTCCTATTCTGGGATTTAATATGTAGTGGTTTTGGCAAAACAGTGTTTTACGGATAAGTAATTTGTATATTGGGATCTTTACCGTTGGAATTTGGGTTTGCTTGCCAAGGGCTGTATACAAATTATATAATGATGCAAGAATGGCATGCCATTGCAGGATAAGAACATTGATTCTTGCAAATAACATTTTCTGTCGGATACGGTCCATAGGATAAGAACAGGATAAGAACAGTGTTACTTTTTAGTCGGAATAGAAATATAGAAGAATCATAGGAGTAGTGTTAGAATGATATATAAAACTTAAAAGAAAATCCCAAATGTTATTAGGTAGTCCAAGGATGTGTGTTGTGTCCCTCTGGAAGGCTTAACGAGATAATAGCTTGTTCCATGCGTAACAAAATACAGCGATTTGGAAATTCTCTGTCCTGTATTTTGAAGTGCAATGTAAAAGTTGAAATATGTTTCTGTTTCTCCTGAACTTTGAAAGTAGACTTGCAGCTTGCAGAGTTTGAGTTATTGTAACTTTTGAAATCAATTTGCTTCAGTGGTTTGTGTTATCTGATTATAGAATATTTTTTAATTGTGCTGCCTAAATGTATTGCAGGCTCTTGAAATGCTGCTTATGGATCTTCCTGGTCTTTTATTTTTTTCCACATATACATTACTTGTCTTATTTTGGGCTGAGATCTATCACCAGGTATACCTTCTTTTCTTTTTCTTTTTTTCTGAATCTAATATGACGAACGAGTAGTTGCGTGCTTTAATTCATATCGTCTGATTATTTTTATGTATTTTTAGGCAAGAAGCCTTCCGACTGATAAACTTAGGCCTGCTTATTATATTATAAATGGATTTATATACTTCACACAGGTAAGGAAAAATGATTTATTTCTCGTTGAGCATGATTAGGCACTTACGGTTGAATTTCAGTTTGTTATTACACTTGGGGCATCGCTGTTGCATGCCTGGTCATTGTGTTATGATGATAGGTGTGCATCTGGATTTTCATAAGAGTAAGCAGAAGTCCCGTTGCCCTAGAAGCTGCTAGAATCTTCTTTTCAGGTCAAAAGGCAAAACTATACTAATATCTTGCTCACTTTTGCATTTCTTTTCTCTAATTTTAAGTTTTTGTCAAACATTTGTGCAGTTGAATAAGTAGTTCATTGAAGTATATACATAAACATGGTTAGAAAAACTACTGCAAAGATGGAAAAGCTAAACTTGACATTTATTATCAACATTTGTTTGTAGTTATTTCATTCGGTACTGCTTTGGGATTCTTGATATATGGTGGAAGGTAAGGATTCATGGTTCATCTACAGAAAGTGCCCGAATTTTTTCTTCATGAAACAAGTGTTTATTTTTGTGTTGTTTATGACTTTAGGTTGTTTATCATGCTGAGGCACTTCCCCATTGAGTCAAGAGGCCGTCAAAAAAAGCTGGAGGAGGTTTGTGCTTATGTTTGAGTCACATTATGGCCTGAAACAAATGGAAGATATTAGATATTATTATAGGCATAAACGGTTTGATGAATTTTCTTACTCTATTTGATCAAGCAATGAAAAGAAACATGATCTAATGTGTTTATGCACCTTTCACAGTAGGGTTACATGATCTGCTCCAGGATCATAACCATGACAATTGTAATCCACAGTATGATTCTGAAAGTAAAGAACTAGTGCAATTTATGTAGAAAATCACAGTGCCCAACTTATCTTACATGGCAGGTTGGATGGGTCACAGGCATTTGCTGCACTTGTTTCTTGATAAGATGCTTGGTGGTGAGTTCCTTTCAATTGTGGAGCACTTGCACATATAACACAAAAAAGTTATTGATTTTTGAAGACTTATTTCTTGAGTTGTATTGCAGCTCGCAGTTTCTGCATTTGACAAAGATGCAGATGTTGATGTCGTGAATCATCCTATCCTAAACCTTATTTATTACATGGCAAGTTTTGAATCCGTAACTTCCATATTTTATATCTTACTGCTCTGCCAGTAGAGTTCCATGTACCCTATTTTGTCTAGCTACTGCAGTCCCCTCCCTCACCGGGATGGGCCAATGCATGTTACCTAGATCAGTCGGTCTCACGGTTTGGCAGAACTTTCCCGGAGAATATCTCCGAGTGAAAGAGGACTTCAAGCAAAATAGTTGGACTAATTGTGTCTTTGACTGCGTAGTATAGAACTATTCTTTTCTATGTTGTAAACATTTTTCATTTATTTTGGCACAGTTAGCGGAGATTGTTCCATCTGCTTTGGTGCTTTTCATCCTGCGAAAGGTGCCGCCTAGGCGTGTTTCTGATCAGTACCAACCCATAAAATGAAAGCTCTATTCATCTTTTGAGCCTATTTTGAAACCGAAATTGTTAGATGATTCTGTGCTCTGCTCGAGTTGGATTTCATGTATATTCTTGGTATTTCTTTTGTATATTTTTCTTTTAACAATGGGGACAGTACGCTTTCTAGAATAACATTTCAAAATTATTGAACACGTACACTGCTTCATTTCTTCGTTGTACCTTTTTACTAGTTTCAAAATTAAATTCTATTTACAATGTTTTTCTATTATTAGTTTATGACGAGTAAATTTGAGCAAAACAGGAAAATTGACATTAATGCTTTACAAGAAATGAACAAAAAAAAAAAAATGGCATACAGTAGATGTAGAGTCTCGGGATGCAGGACTTTGTGAGAATAGCAAGGAGCTTGTAGTTCAAGTGGTTAAGAGCAATTACCCCTACATATGAGGTCCTATATTCATATGATGTCCCTGCACACTTGGTTAAACACTATTAGTATGATGTTCCATATCAGAAAATAATTCAAGTCATTATGCATGATTTCACAATTTAAATGCGTCTCACTTTTCTTTTTTTCATGACTATTTAGAGTAAATGCAGGGAACGTCATATTTTAAGGATTTGATTCAGTAGATAGATTTGAAGGATTTATTAATTCAAATGTACCGTGACAATATCAATGTAAAAAGAAAAAGCGCGCAGTGAATATTTTCGAGTTAATTTCCCACATCCTAAAAATGTTACCTTTTTGAAAATTTTGGGGGAAAACAAGATAAACTACGGTGGGAAATCAATATCTTGTGACAAGTCGAAGTCTAGGGCAGAGGAGGTATTTAATATGAACCCGAAAATCAGGAGTGTGTGGATTTTAAGGCCTTCGATGCATGCAAACCTCAACTAGGTGCTGTTGTATAGTAGTCAATTAGTCTAAATTTGTACACTCTACAGCGTTACACGTATTTGGAAAAATTCAAGAAAATTTAAAATAAATTAATTTTGGGTTGCTGGAAATTAAAATTTCAAAACCTTTTATGTGAATTAATAACCAAAACACATAAGAATCATGAGTTTATTTACAAATAATTAAACTCGTATGGGTTAACTAACAACTTGACTGGTAAGGCAGTCCACATCAATTTATAACTTGCATTCAGTTCGTGGACATCCAAATATATCCTGGACCATTCGGCACTAGGATTCTGTAAGTTAAGAGTCATGTTCTTAAGCACTTCCAAATCTTTTACTTAGACAATACTTTACAGATTTTGAAATCAACTGGAGCAAAGCTCCAAATACAAGTAAATTAGTAGTTACAAAGTTTTTCACAGTATACAACAATCAAAATATTCCACTTCCTAAATAAATTCAACCACAATAAAAACTGTGTAACCTGGAGTAAATTTTGATTGTCCTAACTATGCTTCTGCAGAACTGGGTATCTCATAGATGTTTCTACATCGATTGGATCGGACATATACACAGACAAGCTACAACCTTCAAATCCCTGTAAGGATGAAGTCATATATAATTTACAGACAGGGCAACTCAGAGCAGGCTCAATCAAATGCTATTGACATGAAAGTGTCGTCATCCAACAATTTGTCAATATCAATCAGATCATCACCACCTTCGACCTTTAGTTCTGATCCATCCGTAGCCATATCACTTACCTGCCAGCAGATCATGGCATGCAAAACATGTCATCAAAGTAAATGGCAATTGCAGGCTATAGTTATCGATATTTAGTACTAACAGTTCCATTAGTTGTCCAATAGTAAGTGACACACTGGGTGAGGACGGACTTACATTTTCTATACTAAGATTCACAGAAAGGGCAAGGTAGAAAAGTGAAGATCTTCAATCTTGTTTTAAGTTTCAGAAATTTTCATGTGCCCTTTGTTAACCTTGGAACATAATGCATACCAAAAATCAAAAAATTCAATTGATTTGCAACCGAGGACAGTGTTCCAAAGCTTATAATTAATATGGAAAACAAGACCATACTTGGGCCTTTTTAGATATCTGAGCTAAAATATCCAAAGGGGTAAAAAACTAAAGGAAAAAACTAAAAGGGGTAAAAAATTATATCTGAAAGGGGTAAAAAATCATCTTCTTTTGAGGGGTAAAAAACTAGAAGGGATAAAAAATTATATCCAAAGGGGTAAAAAACTAAAAGAAGATGCACTTAATGAAAAATGCGACATTTCTGATTTTTCAAACAGTAACTAAGATAATTAGACTATAAAAGGGAGATGTATAAATTTGAGATGTATCAATACCTTGGTTTCGCGGAACCCTTCCACAACATTTAGCAGTCTACGATATTGAGCTCGTCCCTCGGGATATTGAACCATAGACTTTACCCTAGTAAGCGCTTTTTGTAACCTTTCCTCGGTTTGTTTCCTTCCTTTCTTAAGAAAATCATAATCGTCGTCATTTGAGGGAACGCTTTGTAGGTTCGGAGCCTTGGCAACTGCATCCGGTCGGAATCCTCGCAAACCAGTCCCCTTACGTCTCCAACGCAATATAACTTTCTCCAGAATTCCAACTGACCAGGTGATTGCTTTATATTGTTTCCTTACTTGGTGTCCCCGTACATGAGCCTTTACCAAATGGAAATGGAAAATTAGCATTCAAGGCTGTACAAATCTTTCAGAGAAGCAATACCCAGAAAATTAATACAGTTTTGGAAAGTGGGTCTCTAAAAAATATCTTATTGAATTCAAAATATAATATTTATTAAAGCGAAGATCGAGATGGCCAGAACCAATCAAATCCTCAACTCTAAAACATGATTCCAAGATTCTCAGAAGTCTCCAAGTCAACAACTCATTACTATTTGTCTGATTTAATTGGCAAAAGAACTAACGACCAGAAGTAGAAATTTTATATACAAAACAAGCTTAAAATACTTCCACTGGGAACTTTATTTATATGAATTATTTGTTACCCAAAATCAGAGGCACCGGTAAAAGCTATCAATAATAAGACTGTTTTCTTTTAACTCAATCAACAAACAAAAAGTTGCAACAAACCTGGATTTTAACAATTCGTTGACGAATTATCAGGAACTCTTTTCTCTTCTTCCAACCGCGAAACTTCTTCTGTATCTGAATTGCAGCAGTATGCCCATTGACTGGTCCCACCTTGTGTGATTTGGAAGCTATGAGTGAAATCGCTCGCTCATCCGGCATTCCGAACTCATCAGTATCATACTCAGTTAACTGTCTCCTATCAAATGACTGCATCCTGAACATTTGATGTATGCGATCAGCAGCTTGTGTAGCATTAGTTACAGCAGTAAGTGAATCCTTCAGTGAAAGCGCATCTGGCATATCACTGTAGCTCCCAGGTGTAGCTATTCTTTCTGAAAAAGTTTTAACAGCTCTTATTCTAGATATTTCTGCAGCACCACCTTCCTTTGCATCATTCATTGTAAGGGAGTCAAGGTAACTGGTCAGCGAAGACTCCGCGAGGAAGCCTGAGATTCCTTTGTGTCTGTTAACAGAAGCCAGGTCTGCTGGTGCTCTACCCAAAGGAAATTCTGGAGATGGATCGGTCAGCGCTCCAGGAGCTGCACCAAGAGAGATAAGGATTGCAACCGTCTGCTCTCTGAATTTGGTATAGGTTCAAGGTAGGAAAACAAAAACACAGAACAGCAAAATATGAGCAGGTGTTGGAATAGGATGCAGATTAAGAGCACTTGATACTAATTCAAAAACAACACAAGCCCAAGTGAGCAATTCATTCCCTCAGTATGCTTTTGAGCTAGCCTATAGTAATTTGCAAACAATTTATCATGAAGGAAATATAAATGAAGTTTTACTTGAAGCTTAAAAAGTGCAGGTTAAAAGAAAAATTAGGTCCTTTGTCACTAAAGTATTGTATAAATCACTAGTTTACTTGTATATGTGAATATGATGGATGTGTGTGTGTGTGTGTGTGTGTGTACATAGAGAGAGAGAGAGAGCGAGCGAGGAGGACTACTCAATGTTTTACAAAACAAGTCATTGTTAAATGGCTTTCCTCAGCTCTTATAATTCAGATGAGATGGGGCTTTACAAAATTTGCAGTAACAAAGTTTGATGCTTAAATGGGCTACAAAATAGATTTTATTTTAAGCCATGTCCCTAAGCTACTCTATATATGCATCAAAGTCATAGAATATTCAAGAGCTCGATTAAAATAAAAAAAGGTAGGTCCTGATGTCCTTGCCTGCCATAGAATGCAGCCCAATGAAGGGCAGTCCATCCATTAACGTCACGAAAATTGATACTAACTCCTGCAGTTACAATGGGTTTTATGGCCCAATCATATCCAAGAGCAGCTGCTAAATGTATCACGCCTTGGCCCTCACTATCTAATACACTAGGTCCTTTACCATCTTCTATTGCTTTATGAAGGAGCCAGCTGTACAACTTCTCTTTCATCAGCTTTATGAGATGTTCCATCCCTTCATGTTGGAGCAAATCATTCACTGCTGTTGGCTCTACCAGGGGTAAGCATTCCTCTTCCTCCTTCAGTGAAATGATTTTACTAATTAGGTTTTGTTTCTCCTTAACACCTTCAACTAGTTGACCTGAAGGGCTGACAGATCTCAGAGACAGTAAACTCTCAAGACGCAAGTGAAGATGGATGTCATTTGTAGTGGCATTGCAGATATTTGTGATATCTAAATCTTTAGTGGAGCCCACTTGATACTCAAACTCCCTCACTTCACTACAAGCTAGCCTGTTGGAACAGGTTACATAGAAAGGGACTTGCCCAGCACTGTGAGGTGGAGCAAAACAAAAAAGAACTCCATTGGCTAAAACCTGTGCTGGAACCTCCACTTCCCCAAACATACAAGACCAATTATACTTTGTTACCTCTTTTTGACTTACCAAGAATGTCCCAATAACCAGAACCTGTTTCACAACTAGCAAAATGAGATAACAAAAAAGAAATCGAGCACATATACATATAAAATGGCAACCATCAGATCTGCAATAGAATAGACACGCCAACAAATTTGGTAACCTTTTACCAAAGCATGGAGATAATATAATATTTCATAGTCAAATAGAAACTATCAGAAAGCAAATTTTTTAAAGTCGGAAGACAGATACCAAAGAACAAACATGATAACCAACCAATTTAAGTGGACAGGGGAAAACTAAAACCAACATATGTCAAAAACTCTCAAGTAATCAAAAAGATAAAATGACA